TACTGGTACAGAAACAGATGGATAGACCAATAGAACAGAATTGAAACACCAGAAATCAATCCAAACATCTATAGCCAACTCATATTTGATCAAGGATCCAAAACCAATCCCTGGAGTAAGGACAGTCTATTCAATAAATGGTGCTGGGAAAATTGGATTTCCACATGCAGAAGCATGAAGCAAGACCCCTACCTTTCACCTTACACAAAAATCCACTCAACATGGATTAAAGACCTAAATCTACGACCTGACACCATCAAATTATTAGAGAGCATTGGAGAAACCCTGCAAGATATAGGTACCGGCAATGACTTCTTGGAAAACACCCCAGAAGCACAGACAGTCAAAGCCAAAATTAACATTTGGGATTGCATCACATTGAGAAGTTTCTGTACTGCAAAAGAAACAGTCAGGAAAGTGAAGAGACAACTGACAGAATGGGAAAATATATTTGCAAACTATGCAACTGATAAAGGGTTGATCACCAGAATCTACAAAGAATTCAATAAACTCCACAACATCAAAACACACAACCCACTTAAGAGATGGGCCAAGGACCTCAACAGACATTTTACAAAAGAGGAAATCCAAATGGCCAACAGACACATGAAAAAATGTTCAAGATCACTAGCAATGAGGGAAATGCAAATCGAAACCACAATGAGGTTTCACCTCACCCCGGTTAGAATGGCTCACATTCAGAAATCTACCAACAATAGATGCTGGAGAGGAGGTGGGGAAAAAGGGACACTAACCCACTGTTGGTGGGAATGCAAATTGGTTAAGCCACTATGGAAGTCAGTCTGGAGATTCCTCAGAAACCTGAATATAACCCTACCATTCAACCCAGCCATCCCACTCCTTGGAATTTACCCAAAGGAAATGAAATTGGCAAACAAACAAGCTGTCTGCACATTAATGTTTATTGCAGCTCAATTCACAATAGCTAAGACCTGGAACCAACCCAAATGCCCATCAACAGTAGACTGGATAAAGAAATTATGGGACATGTACTCTATAGAATACTATACAGCAGTCAAAAACAATTTAAACAGGTCATTTGCAACAAGATGGAGAAATTTGGAAAACATCATGCTGAGTGAATTAAGCCAGTCCCAAAGGGACAAATATCATATGTTCTCCCTGATCAGCGACAACTAACTGAGCACCAAAGGGGAAACTTGTTGAAATGAAATGGACACTATGAGAAACAGTGACTTGATCAGCTCTAGTCCTGACGGTTGATGTACAATGTAATACTTTATCCATTTTAGTATTTTTTTTGTTCTAGTACCGTTGGTTGAACTCTGTAATTAACACACAATTTTTCTTAGGTGTTTAAATTTTAACTGAAAAGTGATCCCTGTTAGGAATTTGGAAAACATTATGCTGAGTGAAATAAGCCAATCCAAGATTCTATTTGTTTTTATTTGAAAATTGGAGTTACTCAGAGAGAGCAAAGGCAGAGAGAAAGAGAGGTCTTCCTTCTGATGGTTCACTCCCCACTTGGCCACAATGGCCAGAGCTGTGTCAATCTGAAGCTAGGAGCCAGGAGCTTCCTCTGGGTGTCCCATGGCAGTGCAGGGGCCCAAGGACTTGGGCCATCTTCTACTGCTTTCCAAGGCTATTACAGAGAGCCAGATCAGAAGTGGAGCAGACAGGTCTTGAACCAGCACCCATATGGGATGCCAGCGCTTTAGGCCAGGGTTTTAACCCTCTACACCACAGCACTGGCCCAGAAAGCAATATTATTAACAATATAGAAAAAAGAGAAACAAGGGAAAGGGAAGCTAGATATATAAATAGAAATACAGACATATGATGAGATAGAAAAGAGGAAGCAGAAAAAGCAGAGGCAGAAACTGAATGAGGAGGAAGAGGAGGAGGAAGATGAAAAGAGGAGGAGGAGGAGGAAGAAATGTTATGAAGTATAAATCCATGAAAATACATACAAAATGTATGGGGAAAATTATGAAAAAAACCTAAATCAATGGATTTAAGTCTTAATCTGAAAAACACAATAGTATTAAGGTATTCATTCTTCCCATATGAACCAAAAGATTCAGCATGGTCCAATAAAAATTCCAGTAAGCTGTCTTGTAGACAATGATCAACATTTTTCTAAATTTGTAAACTGCAGACATTATTGAATAATAGTAAATCTGAGGAATAAACATTTATTGATTTCATGTTTTATTATAAACATACAGTAATGAAAAGGTCATGATGTTGGGTAAAGAAGAAATGTGGCTAAAGGGGATGGCATAAATATATGGAGGTAAATATTTATACTTAACTGATCTTGGTGAAAGGTACAGAGAAGAACATGTATTCCTTTTAAGATTTTTTTGAGCAGTACAGTTACAAGCAGAGAAATGGAAAAACAGAGAGAAAGGTCTTCCATCCACTGGTTCACTCCCCAAATGTCCACAATGGACAGAGCTGTGTTGGTCCAAAGCCAAGAACCAGGAGCTTCTTCCAGGTCTACTACATCAGTGCGCAGGTCCAAGCACTTGGGCCTTCCTCTACTGCTTTCCCAGGCCATAATAGAGAGCTGTATCAGAAGAGGAGAAACCAGGACATGCATCAGTGCCCATATGAGATGCCAGCATCCCAGGCAGTGGCTGTGCCACTATACCACAGTGCTGGCCCTTGATGAATATGTAATTTTTGTAACAATTGGATATAGTGCTCTTGGATGACCAAGTGGAGAAGAAAACAGAGATACATATAAACATATAACATATAAACTCATTCAATATAGTGAATAGACTTTTACATAGGTAAAATGAAAAAAGAAATTAATTGCCTTAGTGTTATATGCAACACTGAATATATGATCAACAAAAATATAATGCAGACTTTAGTTTTATAAAGATTTATTTAATTTGAAAGTCAGAATTATACACACACACACAGAGGGAGATAGAGGGTAACAGAGAGAGAAAGAGTGAGAGAGAGATATTTCTTCCATATGCTGGTTCATTCCTCAAGTGGTTATAACAACCAGCATTTGGCCAGGCTGAAGCCAGCAGCCAGGAGCTTCATCAAGGTCTCTCATATGGGTAATGGGGCCCAAACACTTGTGTCATATTTGGTTGCTTTCCTGGGCCATTATCAATGAACTGAAATAGAAGTGAAGCAGCCAGGACTTGTGCTAGTGTCCATAGGGCATGCCAAAACCACAGGCAATGGCTTTACCTGTTCTGCTACAATGCTGGTCATGTAACATGTATTCTATTAAATTAAAAATGTCTTATATTCAAAAAGAATTTTATAAAATAATGAAAAATACATCCTATCCTGGGAGAGAATATTAGCAAAGTATATATGTGGGGCTGGTATTACAGGATGTTGGGTGAAGCCACAGATTGCTATGCCATTTGTGTCCTGAATGCTCCATTTCCAATCCAGCTCCCTGCTAATATATATGGAAAAGCAGTGGAGGATTGCTTAAGTATTTAGACCTCTGTATCCATGAACGAAATTGAGATAAAGCTCCTGAATTAACCCAATCCTGGCCATTGCAGCAATTTTGGAAGTGAAGCAGTGGGTCAAAGCTATTTCTTTCTGTCTTTTCCTCTCAGTAACTCGACCTTTCAAATAAGTAAATAAATAAATATATATTTAACAATAGCAGCAGTCATTGAATGAAAAATTAATAAAGACTTTGTAAAACTCAGCAATGAGGTGACAAATTATCAAATTTAAAAACAGCAAATTAACTAAGAATTGTCTTTACATTGAATATATGCAGATTAGAAAAAAGCACATAAAATTATGAGATAAGAGAAAGGACTGTAAAGAAAGAACTCAAATTTAACCAGCATTAAGCACTAATATTTTTGAGATAGATATAATAAACAAATAAACACAGCAGTGTAAAAGAATATCGACAAGAATATCAAAAAAACAAAAATCACATTCATTATTGGTCAGAATATATAAGGGTACTTTACAAGACATCTGGAGGTGTGATTGTGAAGTCTTCAATAGTGTCACCATACAATGCAGCAAAGATGTCCATATAATTTACCCAGTTTATGTGAAAATACATATTCCACACTATCCAGCTTGAACATAAATGCAATAGTTTTATTCATATTGGATTTCACAGGTATGAAACCAAGATGCCCTGCAGTAGATGAACAGATAAACAAATCGTCACACAATGTGGGGACATTTGAGGCACAACTGATGTGACAACATACAAAACCACTGGGATGCAGATAGTGGGCTGGATTGGATTCATAGAGGCCCAGAGCCAAAGGAAGACACAGGGTACAGGTCAATAGCATAGACACCTGACAGAAGCAGCAGCTTTGGAAAGACACAGGGTGGTACCCAAAACTGCCAAAAGTTACTCTGTAAAAAGAAGTGTTGGAGATGAAGGAGCCCGGATATAGGTTAAATGGAACAGGGAAGAACTTGGACAAGGATCTACCTCTCCTTCTGTCTCATCGACATTGTTCTGGAGGTATAGTCAGGGAAACTGACTGAGGAACAGGAAATATTAGGTAAAAGGGTCAATTTTTCACCAAGAAAACCTTGATATATATAATAGAACATAACCAAATATAAACTGATGAGAGGATTAAGCAAGATTCTTGGGTTCAAGAGCAATATATAAAATGAAGGGTGTTACTAGGCACAAGAAAAAAAAAATAGGCAACATTTTTGAAGGACAAAATACAGACTAGGAAACAAATCTCTAGACAGATCAATGAGATCAAGAAATAATACTCAACCGTTTGCAAATCAGTACTAAAAATCTCAAACTCACAGAAAAATAAAAACAAGAATATAAAGAAAAGACCTAGAGCCCAAACACTGCGTAAACCGTAACTCACGGAAAACGTTTAAGGAGCCCCGAATCACAGGATCACAGACAATGAAACAGGGAAGTATTTCAGGAGATGGTCTGGAAGGTGTCGGCCCCCTCTGCTGTGGGAGTGTCGTGTCCCAGGAAGAGGAGAGACAGCTTCAAACTTGAGCCCAAGGCACCCACCTTATTCCCCCAACACAGCACAGTCCCAAGGCCCGCAGGCTGCATCTGATTGGCTGCGTCTCCTCTGACGCCATAAGTGCGCGCCATTGTGTGACCTACCCAAGCAGGTTGGCCTGGGCAACGCTGTGTGAATCTTCTTTCTGGGCTCCGCCGTTCTTTGCTTCCCGGCTCTGCTCCTGGTCGCGGCCTCCCGTGGTCAGCCTTTCCGTTCCCTCTTACAGAGACCTCAGGACCGGGACTCCTCAGAAGCTGGAAAATGGTGAGTGAGGTCCAGTCCCGTCAGGCCGCAGGATGTGCGCTGGGCCACAGCTGGATCCCTGAAAGTCTTGTCCTGGCCCTGTTTGCAGTGACGGTGGCTCAGCTCTGGAGCCCCGAATCCGCCAACATTGTTGATGAGGACAGGAAGGAACTTAGAATTCAGACTTCAGATCTGGCTGTCACGTGAGTGAGAAGCTGATTTGCGGGTCCTCTGTCCCACCTTTCTCTTTAGGGATGACCGGAGTCTCCTGAATTGCAAACAAGGTTTAATGTCAGTAACCCAGTCCTTTCAGTGTAGCTCTTCCTAGGGCCCTGCGTAGCTTTATGTTAATAATAACACAAGGTCTCAAACCGGGTAAATTATGAAAAAAGGGTGTTATTTGACTCAAGGTTCTGCTCAAGGTTGCGAGGTAGCATCTGGCGGTGGCTTCTTGTTGGCAGAGGCTTGGGGTGCCGCAGAAACCATGTGGCCAAATAAAGGGAGTGCTGGTGTGGCCAGGGCAAAGTGGCTTCTACAGCAGACCCTCTGGAGATAGTCCATTAATCATATGAATAGATTGAGCCTAATCATTACTTGGAATATTCCACTTGGTCCCATCGATTATGTTCTTATACTTGGAATTAAAGTTCCCCATGAGTTTCTTTTTTTTTTTCTTAAAAAAAAAGATTTATTTATTTATCTGAAAGTCAGAGTTATACAGAGAGAGGAGAGGCAGAGAGAGAGAGAGAGAGAGAGAGAGAGAGAGGTCTTCCATTGGATCGTTCACTTCTCAATTGACCACATAGCTGGAGCTGCATTGATCCAAAGCCAGGAGCCAGGAGCTTCCTTTGGGTTTCCCACATGGGTGCAGGGGCCCAAGCACTTGGGCCGTCTTCTACTGCTTTCCCAGGCCATTGCAGAGATTGATCAGAGTGGAGTAGCCGGGTCTTGAACCTGCACCCATATGGGATGTTGGCACTTCAGGCCAGGGTGTTAACCCACTGTGTCACAGAGCTAGCCCCAAAGAGTTTCAGAGGGATAAACCATATTCAATAAAGAGTATGAAGCCTGGCCCCCCCCCCCCAAAAAAAAAAAGATCAGGGCCATTTCCCTGGCATAGTGAGTAAAGCTGCTGCCTGCAGTGCTGGTATCCCAAATGGGTGCAGTTTCCAGTCCTGGCTGCTCCACTAATGCTCCAGCTCCCTGCTAATTCCTCTGGGAAAGCACTTGGCGATAGCCCAAATCCTTGGCCCTTGCACTCATGTGGGAGACCTGGAAGAGGCTCCTGGCTCCTGGCTCCGGGGTTTGGATTGGCCCAGCTCTGGCCATTTCAGCCACTTGGGGAGTAAAGCAGCAAATGGAAGACCCCTCTCTCTCTTTTTGTTTCTCTCTCTCTCTCTGCCTCTCTGTAACTCTGCCTTTCATATAAATAAATAAATCTTTAAAAACAAACAAAAAATCAGTAAAAATGTCCAAATCTCCTCCCATGTTGCCAAATGCTAACTGCTCCTTGAAGTTCACAACACCATCAATGATTTTCTTTATGGCATATTTCATTCAGCTTCAGTTAAAATACTATTGCTAAAATAACATTGTCTTTTTTTCCCCACAAGAAAATTCCTTAACCTTTTAAAACACTTATTTTCTGTCTATGAACCTATCCTATTAGAGGAAAGCTATGAATGCTTACCTGACACACAAGTGTAAAGAGATCTTTGTTTAAAATGGGTATTTGTAGTAGTGGTTAAGATGTTCCTAGGACTCCCACAGTCCCTCTCAGAGACCCCTGGTTTGCATTCCAGCTCTGCTTCCAGCCTAATGTTCACCTGAGGAAGAGGCAGTGATGGTTCAAGTACTTGGGTCCCAATCACCCACATAGGAGGATCTGATTTAATTCCAGCCTCCTGGCTTCAACATGGGCCAGCCTTGACTTTTGCATGCATGTGAGGAGTGAACCATTTAGTGGAAGATCTTTCCATGACTGTCTCTGCAGCTCTACTTGTGAAATAAAATACATTTTTAAAAAACTGTCCATTTCTTCTTATCTCCCTTAAATGCAGACATCTTATTAAAATGTCAACAGTTTGAGAATCCCCTCGGAAGCTTTACAGGGCAATGTCTCCCTAACACACTCCTCTCTTTCCCTTGTCCTGAGTTGTGGGTGATGACAGATTTTCCAGGGGCCAGATCCTTAGGAGTATCAGGTGAGTGCCAGCCCCTGGCTGTTTCTTCCTAAAGAACAGTAGTAAGAAGGGGGACATTTGATGTCTCTAAGGCAAAGGGTCTCTACTGTATACCCTCCATCAATGTTGCTAACCCATTGGGACACTAAAATTTCTTCTCCCAAGTTCAGTTCCCACTATGGGAGACATATTAGTGACAGCTAATTTGATGCTGATATTGAAGGGGCAGGGCAGAAATGAGTTATGCCCTCTAGGTTCTATCTGCCTTATGCAGGAGGGAAATCTTTTGTAAAGGTAAAGAAAGACCTGACCTAGCTAAGTGGTGCCAGATTTGAAAAGCAAATGCACATGCATTTTGCATCCACAGATTTGGTTTAATCAGAGTATAATTTGTCAATTTTCAATGTCTAGGAAGATCAGCTTCTGTTGGCTGAGAAAGTTTAAATTTGAGATTATTTTCATGACTGGTATAATAAAAATTTTATTTGAATTTGTCATTTTTGGCTCAGAGATCCTAAGACATCTGGAATTTCCTGAATGGTAGGCCTGGCTCTGTTCCTGCCTAACACACACATTTCAGATGGTAGCTACGTCTGTGTTAATGAGATGACTCTGGGTAGGATCCCTAAATAACATCAGAATGGGGACAGGGCATCAGAAAGAGCCAATACTTGCTTTCCACTGGCATCTTCATGGGGCTGCATGGTGCTTATTTTTATATTTAGTCTATGTCTTTATGTTTGCCTTTAAAATATATTTATGCATCTTCAGTTGATATATAAAATATCATATGTCTTTTATGTGATGAGAACACTTAAAATCCAATTTCTTCATTATTTTCCTTAGTAGAACACATTGTTATTAACTATTGTTATCATGTTGTACAATGTACATTTTCAAGTTATTCTTCCTATGGAGTTGAAATTTATTCCCCTTTGAGCAACATGGCCTCGAATCCCCTCCATGTCTCTTTAAATTTAAATAATTTTCCTGTGGATCCAAAGTTGGGTCTTGGTCTTAATTGAACTGTGTCAGTCTCTTAATTGGAGTAATTAGTTAATACACATTTAAGATGATGATTGCTATATTTGGATTAATATGCAGCATATTTGAAATTGATTCCCCTTTATTATAATTCTTTCTAAAAGTCTTACTGATTTGTATTTGTTTGAAAAAGATCTAGAAACAGAGGAAGAGAAAGATCTTTTTTTTTTATTTTTTTGACAGGCAGGAGTGGACAGTGAGAGAGAGAGACAGAGAGAAAGGTCTTCCTTTTTCTGTTGATTCACCCCCCAATGGCTGCTGCAGCCTGTGTGCTGTGGCCAGTGCACCGCATTGATCCATAGCCAGGAGCCAGATGCTTCTCCTGGTCTCCCATGTGGTTGCAAGGCCCAAGGACTTGGGCCATCCTCCACTGCACTCCCGGGCCATAGCAGAGAGCTGGACTGGAAAGGAGCAACTGGGACAGAATCTGGTGCCCTGCCTGGGACTAGAACCCGGTGTGCTGGCACCACAGGTGGAAGATTGGCCTATTGAGGCATGGTGCCAGCCCGAGAAAGATGTTATCTAATGTTTTAGTCTCTGAATGCCTGCAACAATTGTGGTTAATTCAAGCTAAGCACAGGAGCCAAGAAGTCCTTCCAGGTTTCCCCCATGTGTGGCAGAGATCCAAACACTAAAAGCATGAACTGCTGCCTGCCACAGTATGCATTAGAGGGAAATTGTATCAGAACTGGAAAAGCTGTACTCAGACCTGACATTCTGATATGGGATGTGATCATCAGAAGTAGTGTGTAAAATGCTCCACCCAACACCCAGCACTGTCTTTGTTCATAAAGTTTCCCTAGTTTTCTCACTTATCACTTTATTTTTTTAAGATTTATTTTATTTATTTGAAAGGCAGAATTACAGAGAGGTAGAGATAGAGAGAGAGGTCTTCCATCCGCTGGTTCACTCCCTAGATGGCCGCAATGGCCGGAACTGCACCGATTCAAAACCAGGAGCCAGGAGCTCCTTTTGGGTCTCCCGCATGGGTACAGGGGCCCAAGGACGTGGGCCATCTTCCACTGCTTTCCAAGGCTATAGCAGAGAGCTGGATCGGAAGAGGAGCAACCGGGACTTGAACCGGCGCCCATATGGGATGCCAGTGCTGCAGGCCAGGGTGTTAACCCGCTGTGCCACAGTGCCGGCCCCTTATCTCTTTTTCAAAAGATTTATGCATCTATTTTATTTATGAGTAGAGAGACACACAATGTGAAACAAGAGGGAATTGCCATCTGCAAGTTCATTCTCCAAGTTCCTGTGTGATAATTGTGATTTTCCTGGACAAAGATATAAGCCAAGAAATTAATCTATGTCAAAGATTGAGATGGCAGAGATGCAAAAATCACGTCATTACCTACTTCCTTCCAGGGTATGCATTAGCACAAAGTGGGAATTGGGAATGTAGCCAAGACTAAAACACTGGACTCCAGTGTGGGATGGTGGCATTCAGAACTCTCTCTTAACCACTATACAAAAGGCCCACATCTTCTCACTAAAGTTGAGCATTCTATTAAGATGTCAAGGATATATGCTTTCTAATATTTTAAAATAATTTCTCTAGAGTTTGCAGTGTACACTATCAAATAACCCAAACCCACTTTCAAGTAACATGCTATTTTTTAGGTAGTGCAGATAACTTTTAATAGAATTTTCCCAATCCCTTCCTCTTACCTTCTGTATAATTTGTCATTCCTTTTATCTATCAGAAGTTGTAACGACTGAGTTGATATCATTTTGGATAAACCTTTTTTTCTGGTAAATTATGTAGAAACAAACAAAGTGAATTCCTTTTTGTACCTTCACTTAATTTTTTAAAGATTTATTTATTTATTTGAAGGGCAGTTGCAGAGAAGCAGAGGTATAGTGAGAGAGAGAGAAAGAGGGAGAGAAGTCTTCCATCTGCTGGTTCACTCCCCAGATAGCCTCAATGGCCGGAGCTGTGCCGATCTGAAGCCAGGAACCAGGAGCTTCCTTCT